TTATTGCTTTAGAAGCATGAGTCTATATCAGTCTAATCACTCAGGCATAGACATATTTGAAATAATTATTATTTATGCCTAAATGGATGTAAATATGTGGAAAAGTGCCACCCTCTGCCACCATCAACCATATGTACATAAGTATGTGCCTATGTGGCGGCTGCCAGCCCATTTAAAATATAACTGCCCACAACATTGTAGAAAGCAATTTAATGCAACTTTCACTCACGTGCCTCCCACTTTCCGCTACAACTACACACATACATAGTAAGTATGCGCGGCCAAGTACATTTCTATATGGAAAAGCTGGACTTTTATTTCATATATGCCTCTTAATATGCGCACATAAACACACACTTGCATATGTGGGGTATACATGGCGGTATGTATAGTACATACTATGTACCGTATACCAATAAGTTGTTTTTCTGTCCATCACAATTCGATTATTTCCACGATTAATGTGAACGCGCATACGGCGCCACCACACCGCACACAACATTTGCGCTGTACTTGCCGCATATACATATTTGCACGTATATATATATATATATATATACATATCTTCCTACTCACACATACATCCATACATACAAAAATACACACCTCCACCCATATACCTATGGAGCTCCTGTTGGTGTACGTCCTGCCAGTGGCCGGCACTTCAATCCATTTCCAATGTAATCGTATAATTTCGTTGAACGTCGCTTGCTGTTGACTTTGGTATTGGTATTTTTTTGTTTTTATTGAACGGTTGAGTTTAGTTTATATTTATTACCATTATCGAGCGGATATCGCGCGCGCAACCTGCCTACATAAATAACAGAAAAATCAAATGCGTTTCATATTATTATAATAGAAGCATTATGAATCACAAAAAGCAATAATCGAATAATATTAAGAGTGTTTCTAACGGTTTATAGGACGGAAGTTTTGAATGTTTCCATAGAAATATGGTATTCAAAGTATAGATAATAGTGAAACTGAGTAAGTTGAAGCAATTCTAATATATTTCTTATAATATAGTAGACATATGTACATCTATATACACATATTCACAGTAGAAATATAGAGTGGAATTTCGCATTATGGACATTCCTCATAACAGAAAAACTCCCATAACTGCAAGAATTTCATATAACTAACGTTTTTCATTAATATTTTCATACAAAGCCATTCCCATAACCGGACACGAGTACATTCCAAGGACCAGACATGAACACTATTTAGGTAATTCTTCGTTAAATTTACCTCTAATAAACGGACAAGATTTTAAACAACGTGAAAAAAACAAATATTTACATTTTGTAATTATTTTTCTAATTATTTTTTATTTGTGGTGTTATGAGACAGTTTTTTAAGAACAAAGCGCAGAAGGAGCACAACGAAACCAATTGACTTGACGTTTGGCCGCGATGGCTCAACCAAAACTAATGTCACTCATTTACTCCCCTCTGACATTTTATCAAATTAAACAACACTTGGAACTCCGAGGTAGAGTTCGACAAGACTTATACACTTATCGTACATAAGTTCAGACTACTTTAAACCATTGTTTCTTTCACTGTGGTTCAGTCATTTTATCTTACATTTAAATTTTGATAAAACTAGAACTCCGAAAATAATCTAGACTAATTGGGGTGTAGGTCTATTTTCGCGGCATAAAAAGCTTTGAACATACGCGAAGATAATGCGCATGTCTGATCATATTCGAATGCAAGTAGTTTTGCAGCGGTATCCTAGTAGTCTACTATTTTGAATCGAACACAGCTTACTTAATATCATTTAACGGTAGTGTCTAAGTAACATAATGAGTGATTCGAAAAATCTATGATACTTATTAGTTAACTGATTTCATACTGCTGCTTATGGTAGTATATCCCTTGTAACAAGAAAGTTCAATTATACAAGGTTAGTCTTATATTACAGATATGATATTTTCACATCAAGTTTCTCAACATAAAATGCACCATCCGATTACGTGGTGTTTTTCTGAAAAAAACAAACTAACATTGATTCTGGTACAAGATTTCCGCATTACTTAAAATTGCTACCGCTAATTTTGTTCGATTTATATTACAATTACATACCAAAGTATTTCTTAAGAATACATAGACTTCTATCAAATTTCATAAGCGTCTTGTAGATTCTATCACTCAAACTGCTTTTATACTCCTCTTATATAAACGTATGAATTTGATTTGGAGAATATCGAAATAATCAACTCCTTTAGGTTCGATTAATGATTGGAAAATATAGCTTTCCGCAAGCAGTGGAGAGTAGCGAATCGACCAAACTCTAAGAGATGCTTTAAAAACGGTCAGCAATTTTTATGCACCGCTGCTCTGACACGTCTTCTAACGCTAAATATTTTCTTTCGCGTAAAAGAATTAATAATTGCAGGGTAGGGGGGTAAGAAAGGGTCTTGACCAATTTGGAACCTTTTAAACACCAAATGAATTGGTGCTAATGACCCTAATTACTACCATGTGGATTATTTCACATATATATATGACAGATAAAGGTAGTTTAGATACTGTTCTATATATTTTTCCGATTTAAACCCAATCAGAGTTCCCCGTATTCAGTAGATGAGACCAAATTGGGCGTTGCCCTATAACAGATACATATTCACTGATATTTAAAACGTACTTAAATTAAAAAAAAAAGATAATAATATGATGGAATTTAAGAAGCAGGTATCTTCTCGATCAATTTGAAATAAATTGCTGACAAAGTTTGTGAAATATGAAATTGTATCTAAAATCGGGTAATTCTTGATCGAACACTTGACCGGAACACTTAAAAAAAAGTTTTAGTCAATTTAAGATTTCCGATGATACTATTTCATCGTATATTACGTACAGTTCATCGTTCCTTCTTCCGCAGAAACTTTTGCTTCTAAACCCGTAACGCCATTCCATCTTATATTGATCATGGTTCATGCATCTGCACCATAAAGCAGGACGGGGATGATGAGGAAAAGTGTGGTATTTGTTCATCAAAAGAGAACTTTACTTCTCAAATGCTTACTCAGTCCTAAGATCATCATAAATTATTTGCTCCCATAGAAAACCAAGAAAAAAAAGCTGCAGGTTTCATCTAACTTTTTTCTGTGTTTCAAAAAAAAAGAAAACATTGGCATACATAATTGAATAAATTTTAGTCCGAATTCCTTATGCATCTCCACTGTCTTTTTTATGCTGCAAACCTGGCATCTAGCTCTTCATACTGGTTTTCAAATCTCAAGCAAACGTGCGTTGGATAGAAATTTGGCAACAATGCAGCTGTTATCACCGTTATTGTAGTCTATTTTGAAGCATGTAGGTCTTTTCTATGAAAACTCGAAACTAGAAAGTTTCTTGATTTTTGGTAAAAAAAGGGAAAAACGCTGTATTATAACACCCTTCACAAAAGAAAATGTTTTACATAAAATTATTTGATTTTGTATGGCAGCTATACGTTATAGTTGTGTGATCTTTGCGGAGATTGTAGCGTTGCTTTGGCCAACAATCCGAAATGAAATTTCGTGCAGGTATCTCGTCAAAAGACAAAGCTTTCATACAGGAACTTGATTTTGATCTTTCAGTTTGTATGGCTACTATATGCTATAGTGATCCGATCTGAAAAATTTCTTCCAAGGAGTTAAGTTTGGGAAGATAGCTCGTCAATTGAAAAAGTTTTCCATACAAGATCTGATTCCGATCGTTCAGTTTGTATGAGGTGCTACCACAGACGTATCCTCTTCAGGGTATAAACAGTTTTGTTGTAAGCGCTTTGAACTGTCCAGCTCATATGTTGTTATATTGCGAAATATTCCCGGATTCTACCTTGCAGAACAATCCATCTATTATATAATTTTAACGTTAAGCTTATGCTAACTGAAGTTTGCTTTAGAGTAGTGGACAGATATAGATCTACATATATACAGCAGGAAATGTTAACTTCTGTTTAGCTGGAGGCAATTGGAGAAATTTAAACTAGGCTCTGACCGTCACTCTATTATTCATATTTATTATTTTCGTTTCGACTTATCATTGACTTTGAGTATTGCTGCGAGTAAGAAAATCCCTCGCATAGAGGCCTATCAACTCTGGCACTATATACTCAACTTACCGTGAAACAAAAGTATTGCACTTACGAAATATAATCTTATCAAAAAAGCATTTGATATGTAAAATTTATGAAATTAGTCAACACCGAAGAAAAAGAGGGGAGCAGGCACAACAAAGTGTCATAAACTCACGTTTCTACTTTATCGCACACTTGTAAATGTTTACACCCACAAATGAGGGAAACAAGTACACAGCTATGAGCTGCCAGCAAACAAACACACACACATACATACACTAACAATATATGGAACCAATACTAAGAATAACGAAGGCATTTTTATATGCAACCGCTTGGGTTTCCGGACGTACAAAATCTACTTGCAAACCAAACAATGCGTGGAACGGGATCTAAAAAAATGCGATAAATGTCACTTGAATTACCTGTGCCGTTGTGTGGAGGAAACTATGTGAATATATATATATGTGTATATGTACTTATATAAATATGCTTATGGATATGTGTGAGTGTGTGTGTGGTTTTTAAAGTGCATACTCATTGCTGTGTTGTGGCTCATGTGCGCGCTGGCATTAACGCAAACACTCACAAACTGCTCCCGCACATATATTCGTACATATACATTCACACATATCCATACACATACATTCACACATATATACACACACACATGTTTGCCCATTCACTGAACAAACATCTGTAGTGTTGCTTTATGGCTCGCCAGCGGCAACGATCAACAATTTGCTTTAAGATAAGAGCGCGCTATATATGCTTATCGACGAAATGATAAGATTATTCTTATCTAAATGGACACAGATAAAACAATACACTACTCATATGCAGCAATAAACGAAATTGGAGCAGCGTCAGTGTCAGAGAAATATTTTTCGAGTTAGTTGAAGTTCGTGTCTTCTGCGGCAAAGGTTCGATATACCAAAATCAGTAGTTTATGAAAAAATACTAGTGCTTACAAAAACACACACATATACATATATAAAAAACTATAAACTCTTTCTAAACTAAACTTAAAAGCGAGTTCGAGCTCAAATCTAAATCCCAGCAACAACGCGCGCTCAAAGTAATCGAATTATAATTCAAATATAGAATCATTGGAGTGCAAAAACTAACGTGAGTGAATAGAAAATAATGGAAAAATATACATTTACATACATATATACATATATACATATATGTGACTGTTAGAAAAAATTGTCTAATAATACAGCGCATAAAAGTTTTTGTTGTTGGCTAGCCATAGCCGGCAGGTTTAACTACAGCCTGACCAGTGTTCCACTGATTGCATATGAAAAGCCATTCGGAAAAGCCAAAGTGCATAACAACACTCGGTCGCACACAATGCCAATAACACAAACACACACACACAACTATTTGCTTATACACACATGCATGGAAAAACATACACACACACTTCAAAAACACATACACATACATACAAAAAACACAATAGCTACACACGGATTCTAAGTCGCCCAGTCACAGAGTCAGTGGATGAACTCGTTTTTGTGTCACTGATCTACAAAAATAATGGATACATTGCATCGATTTTTCCGGCTTTTGTGTGCCACGCTATTATTTATACACACACACATATATGTATAACTGTTGTTTTTTTTTTTTTTTTTTTGTAATTTGTGTGCCAATAACGTGCTGCGAAGGTAACGCTTGCATATGTGCGTTCCCAGGTAAATGCACGATTGGCCGACAGTGTTGTGCGAAACAATTGGTGTGCTTTAGATAAAAAATTTAGAAAGCTATTATATAAGCGACGAAGAGTTTGTGAAGGGAAGAACTTTGCGTTTGAGGTGTTTTGCAGGAAGCGATAATACCGAAAAAATTTCAAATTGTAACACAAAATAAATAAAAATATTTAATATTGAAAGATAATAAAAAAATTGTAAATGGTAAAAAAAAAATTTAAAAATAATAAAAAATAAAAAAGTAAAAAATAAAAAAAAAATAAAAAAGTAAAAAATAATAAAAAATAAAATAAAAAATATTATAAAACAAGAAAAAATATAAAAATAGAATAAAACCTGAAAAAACGTTAACTCAGTTGCACTGAAGCTATAAAACCCTTCATTAATAACAACAAATACCACACAAGACCTTTATTTGAATCGATCAGTTTGTATGGCAGATATGTATGTATGTATGCAAATGATATATTGGCCGATATGAAAGGTTTGTTCGGAAATTTTTTCGTTGATTCCAACAAAAATTTCTGTCAAATTTTAAACAAAAGTGTTTTTCATAGTAGGATATGATTCACATCGATCAGTTAATAAATACGCGCGCTATATGTTACAGTCGCCCTATCTAAACAATTTCGTAGGAGATGGCACCACTGCTTTAGATAAAAATCTTTGCCAAATTTCGTAAAGACATTTGTCAAACAAAAGTGTTTTCCATAGAAGGATATTCTGCCAAATTAATCAGTTTGTAAAGCAGATATATGTTACAGCAGCGCGATCTAAATAATTTCTTCGGCAACTTTGTCGTTGCTTTAAGCAATTATCTGTAACAAATTTCGTGCAAATATCTTGTCAAATACAAACGTTTTTCATAGAAGAATATGGTTCAAATCGGCCAGTGTGTATGGCAGCTATATGCTAAAGTGATTCCATCTAGACAATTTCTTTGGAGGCTCTACCGTTGCTTTGGATAATAATCTGTGTAAAGTTTCGTGAAAATATTTTGTCAAACAAAAACGGTTTCCTTACAACGAAAAGGTTCCGACAAATCAGCAGCAGGGAGACTAGTTCACGTACATAATATATATAAGGACGGATATGACTAAGTCGACTCAGGTCGTCATGCTGATCGTTATATACGCTTGGGCGTAAAAAATTAACGAAATATACAAATATTTTTTTTGTTTAATTTTTTATTTTTTTGTTATTTTTTTATTTTTTGTTTTGTGGATAAAATCGTTATTATATAATATTTTAAAATGTGATTATTTTATATATAATCAATCTATATGATGTGTACCAAAATAACCAAGAAGCACACAGTAGACAAATTATTCAGCTGCTGTACACCTTTCATTTTGTGAGAACTAATCTTCATAAAATGGTTCTATGTTGAGTTCAATCTAAAGTAATTTTAGTATTGGTTAAAAATAGAAGCTGGAAATTAGAATTTATCATATATTTGACTGTTATATAAGCTGCCTTCGATTCGGGAAATCTCATCAATCTTCTCAAGCAAATCGAACAAGTTATACCAGATGCTCAAGCAAGCCGGCAGTAGTTGTGGTGTAACCCTGTACGAACTTGTCTTATTCTTCCTGTAAAACAAAAAGAAATTTTCAAGAACTTTTTTCTCATATAAAAAATTATGATCTTACAGGATCATCTAAAATATAGAAATACATGTTTCAGTTAAAACCTTAACTAAGAATTTGGACGAAGGAAAAAAAAAAAATTAAAATTGGCTTTTTGGCAGACATTGATATAGTGAAAAAAAAAAAATTCTTCGTTCAAATCTTTAAAAATTGTATCTCAAATCGAAAAAATAAATCCTTCGTTCAAGACTTTAAGAATTGTATCTAAAAGACCTATATAAAACTTCATGAATATCGGTTGAGTAGTTCTCGAGAAATGCTTCCAACGGATTTCAAAATCACAGTTTCGAGAAAAACCTGTTTAAAGATGGCACACTTAGCTTAGCTAGTCTCCAGCGCACAAGTTCTCAAGGCTGTATCTCCGAAACTATTACTTGTATCAACTTTAAAATTTAGGACAATATACCGGAGGTGTTGTATAATTTAATAACACAATAAACAAATTCAATTTTTAGAAATCCGTAAGCCCATGTAACCCTATAGTACTTTAATGGCATGGAAATCAAACAAAAATGCCTAAGGTGGGGAGATCGGGACAAAACTCAGAGCTTTTTGGCAAAGTTTCCAAATACCAACTTCTCCTTGTTATAACTGATGTATGTAAGTATATCTAGTCTGAAATGGTTTCATTTTCAAAGCATTGTGTTTAGAATTCATAGACGCCTTCACTTTCGGATAGCGCTGATTAGAGCTCCACAACTGAAAAAGTAAGTTCAGCAATAACAAACTACACAGTAGTTGGTACACATTTAAGAGCGGATGAGTTTTGGAAAAAATTTTCGAAACCTGTTGTTTTGAAAAAAATTATACTATACGTATAATTAGACAGATATGTGCTTGATAAAAATAATGCGTGAATTTAAAATTTTAGATTCAATTCATAATTGAAATAAAATCAGCGCTCAATCTGAAACTTTATGGTTTGTAGGCAATTAATTTCCACATAACTGTAAGTGCATATAAACACAATTAAATAAATGGCGCACAAAACTGCTCACACATACATATAGACAATACATGTAAATAAGCTTACACGCACACATGCAAACACATAAAAATACACGACAATAAAATATATATAAATGTTTTTACACACACATTCGCAAGTCGCCGAGTTCATATGTTCATAAAATAAAAAATAAATGCACTACACACACACATACAGAGGACGTAATGTCCTTTCCTAACTGTAACACCTTTCAACAGCAGCAGATAGAGGACAAAAAACGATAGCGCCAACAGATAGCGACATCAAAACCAAAAGTGCAATCTAAAAAATAAAAAACAAAAACGAAAAAATAAAACTAAAAATATATATAAAGACAAACGCACACAAACACATGAGCACATATAGTAAATATAATGGGTGTCGGTGAGTTGGAGGCAACAGCAAACTTATTCAAGTGCATTCAGATAAAATAAACCAAAAATAAAGACCAGATTAAAAATGCATTTAAGTTTGCTTTTGTTTCTTGTGCGCATGTGTGTGTGTGTGTGTGTTGTACGTGCTGATATTGTTCTTATTACTATGATGCGCTGAGCACAAAAACCAAGCACATGTGCGCCTGGGTGTGTGTGTGTGTGGAAAGACCTCCACAGCCGAGGCGCTCACGTGTCGTGTGTGTCAGCTCGGCTGCAGTCTGCTATTCATGCATGGGAGAAACCTCGATTGCCTTGTTCGTGTGCGCTTCTACACATGTCTAAGCACACACGCTAGTACAGAGCGGTTGTATGTGAGCGCGATACGGTCGCGCCGGTAGGAGATGCGCAGCGCTCTTGAATGCCACCGGTGGCCATGCATTGGCAGACGCGACAACTGTGGACGACATATTTGGCTTGGCCGCTGTTGATATTTTTATGAGCATCACCTGGTATGCATTTGGAAATCGCTTTACGGTAGCGGTTCGTAGGCAATCAGCCAGTGAGGCCACATACCCACAGTCAGCATATACTTTGTGTGACAGCTATAAAATTAAATTATTATTATTTTTTCGTTGACAAAAATAGTTCATTTATGAGTTTAATAAAAGTGCAGTAATGAATGGGAGCCATTAAAGCGGAGAAATAGTCATGAATTTGAAATCAAAATCACGAACTTTTTGGTGGCGTTAGAGAGAGGAGTGGTAAAGTGGGAGGAAGATAGGAAGGGTGGTTGCTCACTTCTATAGATGTATGTTCAGATTTTTTAATATTTTAAGTTTTTGGAAAATAAATTACTTTTAAGGTGACATATTTTACTGCAAATAGCCTATAATTTATAGAGACAACGTTGTGTCCCACAAGTCCATAGACGATGCGAAACGTGAAGCATTAATTCCAACTATAAATCGTTTTATAGCTCCCTTCGTTCATGTAGTCATGCATGCATGTATTTTCGTGTCAAATAAGCTTGAATACGCTTCACAAATACAGAAGTTTTCATACAAAAACTTGATTTTGATTGTTCATATTGCATGACAGCTATATGTGTTAATGGTACGATTCGAAAAGTGTCTTCAGATATATTAGCGTTGCCAAATTTTATGCAGGTAACTTTTCAAATGATAACATTTCCCATGCAAACACTTGATTTCGATCGGTCAGTTCGTATGTCACCTATTTGCAATAGTGTTCCGATATCGGCGATTATAAAGAAGGAAGAAAGATTAAGGAAAGATTTCGCGCGCTTCGCTCAACTTGTAGTCAACAAAAGCGGAATACTGAGCATGCTATTCGCAACTACACCACCCATCTTGATAAAATCCGACCGAATAGACTACGT